GCATGATTTACTTTTACCCCTGCTTCAAAAATAACATGTCCCAAAAATTGCACTTCTCTTGACCAAAATTTGCACTTAGACATCTTGGCATATTATTTATTTTTCTTCAGAAGTTCGAGAATTAGACGAAGGTGCTCGACATGCTCCTCTTCAAATCTTGAGTATATAAGAATATCATCGATAAATACAATAATGAATTAATCAAGGTATTCATTACATACCCGGTTCTTGACTATATTTTATGCCAACCAGTCCATTCCCAATACAACATCAAACTCTTTCATCGGCATCTGAAACAGTCGAATTGGTAGCACGCACCCCTCAATTTCAATTTGGCAACCGTTAAAAACACGGCCAATAGATACTTGACTATTATTAGCAGTATTAACCACTAAAATATAGTCAAGAAGCATGAAATTCACGTATAAACACCCCGCAAATAATGGTGATATAAACGAATAATTTGCACCAAAATCAAACAACACTTTAGCATATACGGAGTTAATGAGAAATGTATCTGTTACCACATCTGGAGTTTCCTCATTCTTATTTTTGGTCATTTGAAAAGATCGACCCCTCGCCCTTCCCGGAACTCCTCTTTGAACATTAGCTTCCCTATGCAAACTCGGAGTATTACCATCCATAGTCAACCTCGGGGCCTTTAGCTAAGGACAATTTGATTTTACATGATTTGGGGAATTGCAATGGTAACATCGTTGAGACATCCGACACTCTCGGGAGATATACCCCAGCTTTCCACATCAATAACAAAGTCTTTCATTAAGTCCTTGAACAAGACGATTTTTGGTTTTCACAATTTTCGGTCTTCTAAACCCACAGAAGGTCCTTCCCATCTTCTCTTTTCTATTACTTTCTCTTCCCCTTGTCTGTTCTTTGTTCTTTCCATCATTTTTGCAGCATCTACTGCCAGTGGAAATGTTGAAGGGTTCATAGCAATCACAAACTCTCGTGTTGATGGCTTTAGCCCCCAGATGTACCTTTCTACCTTTCGAGATTCTGAAGAGATATAATGATCTGCAAATTGAGAGTGTTCTATAAAATTTTCAGTAAACTCTCGTACTATCTGGTTACCCTGTTTCAACTTCAAGAATTCATCCTTCAATTGCTTGACAACTGCTTTTGGACAAAATTATTTCTTTAAATCGGTCAACAAACTCTGAACAAGACATTATTTGTAGAATATCAGGTTTTGCTAGTGATTCCACATCCCACAAGTACAGGGCATTTAATTTCAACTTAGGTACCGTAAATCTGACTTTATCTTAATTTGGACACCTAATGGTATTAAATACATATTCTATCTCTTTCAACTAGCACATTGCTTTCTATGGTTCTCTTTCTCCAGAAAATGTTGGGGGTTTACAAGTTAAAACCATTTTAATATCACCCCCTCTGTTGTTTGTAGCTTGAATATGTGGATTTATCTCGACCCTATGTGTTTCTATCCTTGCTGGTACCCCAATAATAGATGTTAGAGTATTTTTCTATTTACTCATTTCCTTTGCTAATACGTCCCGAGTAACATATTCAGGCGGTTGCGCTGGTTCTTGGTTCATATTTCCTTGGATTGATTCATCCTGATCTAGATGATTTTTCAGACTGACTGTTTCTTCCTCTCCCACGACTTCTTTCACGGTCACTACCTTGACCTCTTCCTCTACCTCTGCCAATTGATACACTAATAGGAATATTTTCAGGCGAATTTTCTCTTTTATTTGGGCTGGCGAGGGCGATCCTCTAAGACCTTCATGAATGGCTGACCATTTGCATATTTTCAATATTAATATTCACATAATCACATTCTCAAATATAATACTAAGCACAAATATGTATCTGTAAATTCATAATTATATTACCCACCTGTAATTTGAATTTACCTTACATATCGTTCTCTTAACCCATCATGTTTATTCCAATAGTTCTACTTATGTCAGGGACTCTTAATATGCAAATAATACGGTTTAAGTCTAGTCATCATGCTAAATACCTAAATCCCTTAAACTTAGGCTCTGATACCAACTTTGTAACACCCCAAGATCCATATTCATACATAATCAAGTATTTCATGTAATAAAAAAAATACAATATTACACATTTGGTCCCAAAAGTACAAGAAGCTACATTACCAAAGTAACAAACAAAATTTTTTCCACAACATTCTTGTACATAAAATCAATAGATAACATATTCTTCTCCATATTCCATGTAAACACATAGGGAATCTCACATTTTCCCCTTTCCCTTATCCATTGATAGTGCTCGACCTATAATAGACAATTTTTGAAACAAAAAATGAGGGTTAGACCTTGAGGTCTAGTGAGAATTTCCCTTTTTGCTATTACAGAATAAAAATCACCAAAACGTGATATAACTCATATTTGTGATTAAAACAAATATATACCGCCTTTCAACAAAACGTAACTCAATTATTGCATTCAAATAGGAATTTATAAAACTTCCTCGCATCACACTGGGGTGAGATCCTTAACTACTCGCATCACACTATGCAAGACCACCCAGAGCCCTCAGGTTTCTTAAGGACCAGAGTAAAGTCAAACTTAAACAAAGCCACTAAATGCTAACCAGAAGCAATACTTTATAAAAAGGCAAGGTCAACCAAAACATATGACCAACCAGAGGCTCTTTGGATGTCCATAGCCCCTCTGGTTCATCAACCTGAAGTTCCAGACAGAGCCTTATAAGCATAGCTAACTCGAAGCAAAATTTAACACATGTCATGGCCAACCAAAGGCCCTCTGGACGACCAGAGCCTCTGGTTCGCCTAACCAGAGCTTCTGGAAACTAAAAATGAGATATTTTGAAAGCAAATGGATTTTAGATGCAATCAGACGCCTTCTGATTATATCATGAAGATCAACCAACGCCTCTCTGGTCCTCTACCAAAGGTTTTGTACATTTTTCCCAGGACTTAAGAACAATAGAAGTAATCCACCCAGATGCCAAACCAACCAAAGGCCCTCTGGACGACTAGAGCCCTTTTGGTTGAACTATGTTCTGGGCTTCTAAGTGTTAATATAAATTGAAGTTTGAAAATGGTTTAATTAAAAAAGATTTAATCATTAAAAGTTCCTGGTACCAAGAGCCCGGATACAGAGTTTGAACATAGCTTGGATATAGAGCTTAAACACAGAGCTCAGACATATAACTCAACTTCTAAATACAGAGCCTCTGGTTCAAGATAAATTAAAACATTTAGATAAGATCTTAGAACCCAAATACAACCAGAGGCTCTCTGGTTTAACATGAAGACCAACATAGCCCTTCTGGTCCTCAAACACTTCTTTTTATCACATCAATAAGATGCGACAACCCAAGTCCTCATATCACACAAATACGATAACTTAAGATCATCACCTCATAAGAATGTGATAACAAAACCATGATCAAAAGATCATCATTATGCCACCCTTATTACCAATGTACGCAACTCCTGATTATGTCACCCTTGTTACAAATGTACAGAACTCCTGATTATACTACCCTTGTTACAAATGTACGTCACTCCTAATTATGCCACCCTTATTACCAATGTACGCAACTCCTAATTATGTCACCCTTATTACCAATGTACGCAACTCCTTGATATACCACCCTTATTACAACACATCATGATATAATCATGATCAAAACCACCTTTTTTACCAAAACTGGCAACCAAAACCGTTTTAAAACATAAACTCATATAAAGAACCTTATAGTTCTACACTAGATTTATCAAGTTCAAACAGCTTTCAAGAAACTGTTTTATCATCTTCCCACATGAGAACCATATGGTTTAATGTTTCAAACACCAAATAAAGAAATTTGGTAACATAAACTCACCTTATTTTCACGTATAAGAAGATGAATTCACACAACAACTTCCAACTATAAACACAAAATCAACTTCTTCTTCTTACAGTTTCACATAAGAATCACAGAAGAGAACACACAGTAAAGTTTCTCTCTCCCTTTTTTTTTTCCAAAAACAATGTGAAAAGATTACTCTTATCCATTACCTTTTATATTGAACCAAACAAGCGGTGGAGATTTAATATTATTATAACCATAATTATCTCACATTCTCCCATGAGATATAACAATTATCTCACATAAACAATCATAAACCATAAGAGACGGTGAGACTATTTTAAACAATTAAGCACAAAATCAATTTAAATCCCCCCATTTACCATTACCTTTCAGAAATCATTCCAAACTTTTGTAACCGAAAATCCGATTATCACATTTACTAAGATCGAACTGATCACAACTAATTTGCCTCGAAGTGAAAAGTACTTCTCATCTTATGTGTTCTACACACATCAATTCTAACACGAATGCAAAGATACATTATTAGAAATGAACATATATAGCGGTTTTAAGCAATTCAAGGTAACCTTGAATCTCCTCTTTTGTTATGTTAATCTCAAACAGTGCAGTGCGGATAGTAATTTGCTCCACACTTCCATGACCAAAATGAAAACACCGATGATATTGGATTCACTTGTCTCATTATGTTGTGCATGACCCCTTTCTGCTGGCAAACCAATTACCAAGACTAGATACCGAACATCCACCGCAAAATAAAGTCATTTCCTTTTGGATTTCTTCTTTTGAAGGAATGACCATAACGGATCATTGCATCATCCAGTAACTACCTCAATGGCATAAGAACCATCGTCTTTAACGATAGCAGATGATGGTGAAAGTGAAAAAGATGAAATGAGGGAATAGGAATCTTGAAAAAAGAATGGAAGTAGTATTTTGAAATATTAATAATGATAATAATAATGAATACTTGGTATGGTCTTTGTACAAAATATTTAGAACAATTAATACGTCTTTCATTTACAGGAAATATTTTCGATGATGGAATTTGTGAATTCTTTTTTAAACAAATTTACCTGAAATAACAAAGTAATTAATAAAATTAATTGGAAAATCAATTCAGAAAGACACACACTAGAGAGAGAAAGGTAGGAGAGATTTGAGGAGAAACTGCGCTGATGCGGTCCTTTTGGGTTCAATGCCCTCGAAATCCTTACCTTTGTCAAACACAAACTGTTTTTCCCCCTTTTTGCCCTAATCGTCTTCTTCTTTCAGCTTTGTACATCAAGCCCTAATTTATTCTTCAATTCTCAAGCATTTTACCCAATTTCTGACATCTTTGCTCTTCAATTTTGAAAAAATTCCTTCAACTTTACCTAAATTTGCTTCCCCTGGTTTATTCTCTCTCTAAACCACGAAGAGAGAGAGAGAGAGAGAGATTTATATTGTGTGATGATGGTTTTTGATTTTGAGCTTGTTATTTATCTTCATCAAATTCTATATCAAGAAACGAATTTTCTCGATGACAATTTCTATTGAATGCAACCCAATATGATCTCTAATGTGTCTCCTAACTAAACAATCATAACCCTTGTTTTTTGCTCGGTGCGATCCCCCCATTATGTCTGACGAACCATCCTCATCGCCGATCCATTGCGACGGCGAAATCAAGGACAGCAATAAAACTGCTGCAAACAATAATAATGGAAGCAGTGCTGTAGTGAGGAGAGAGAGACCGTCGCGGGCATGTACTGCTCGCTCTGCGGCACGGCTCTACGCAGCTGCCGCTGCGGAAGCGGCGGTTGTGACCGATGGACGGAAGCAGAAGTCTAGACGGCGGCCTTCTCGGAGAGAAATTGAGGAGGAAGAAGAAGAGGAGCCACCGCCCTCTCCGCCCAACCCGTACAGCAAGATCGTAACACCTTTGGTGCGAGAGCCTCCGCTGTCACAGTTGTCGCGGTGGAGTGTTAGGTCTATGTGGGAGCTGGCATCAATTCTCAATTTCTTAAATGTGAGCTTTGAAGAACAAATTGAAATTTTCAAACAAAGATTTAATTTTTTTTTATCATTCGTAGTGTTTTTTTCATAATGTGAACGATTATTGTGGGTTTTTGTTTTGCAGGTTTTTAGGCCTCTTTTGAATATTAAAGTGGATTTCTCTGTGGAGGAGTTCGAAACAGCTCTAATTACACCGAATGCTACTTTGAGTGACATACATATTCCTTTGCTGAAGGTCAGTATGGTATACCTATATAAGATAGTTTTAACTTGTGGAGATTGTTGGTTTAATTTGTTCGTAGCATTCATTTTTTCACATTTCCATTTGTCTTGTTAGTTCATAAAATTTAATGCAACCATTTTCACTTGTATTGATAATTGGAACTAGCCGTCCATGCATAATCGAGAAATAATCTTGAAAGGGGACAAAGTATTCTTGAAATTTTGTAGCTTTAGGGTAGCAGTTATAGAACAAATTTTCGTATAAGCATAACATGAAATGAGCTCAGAAATGCATGTTAACCTGATCATTAAGTTAAGGGTGAGAGGTCAAATGATGATGGTTTTGAAATTTAGAAGCTTTAGTAATGGACTAATAGGTTTGAGTTGGGTAGGTCTAGTGTTACCTTATTCACCGACCATCCCTAACTATCCAGATCATATGACCTAGATCGTGGTGAGTTTGTGCATGAAATTGCCACCCGTAAAACCCAAATTCCGTAATAAAGTAATATGCTACAAAATGGGAGAATCACGAAGAACAAACTACAATCAGCGTATTGAGGTTGAAACTAATATTTCTATCTTTATACGGGAATGTAGGGCGGCCATGTTCCAATTGTTGTTGCCACTTTTATTTTGGGAAAGAAAGAGGCACAGGGCTAGAGAGAGAGGAAGACTTGCAATCAAATCTGGCCCTTGGTCAAATGGTGTGTAGTCTTATAGTATTTGTCTTTTTACTTGGAATTTGAAGTGAATAAATGAAAAAGAAACCCACAGTTCAATTATTGTCTAATTGATTCTCGAAAATATAATTACCTTTTTCTTCTTCACATCAAGTTTAATTGTGCATATTCTAGTAATAATTACCCCATCATTATGGAACTTGAATAATGTTGGTTACCCTAACTTAGTGCAATGATCTTATTTTATACTATGATTCCTAGCTTTTTAAGATATCATAACATTACAATGTGAATGCAATCACACTAATAAACTATGTGTAGATACATTTGGCAATTTGCACTCAAGTACTTAATGTACCATGTATCTGAATAACATATAAAATGAAACTACTCCCACGTATTATAATCACTACTTGTGCATTTAAAGGCCATCAAACCTTAGGTGCATTTAGAGTTGACCATATGGTTACAGACAAAATGGCCAAACATTTACTGAATTGGCTTAAACTGTTGTGAAGTGTGATTCAAATCTATGCGCAACCAGCTTGTGATGGTAGGATGGTGGCCGACTGGTGGTTTTTGGTGATGTAGAATTAGGGTTGATTTGAGAGAGGGAGCCTGAAATGGCTATCTTATCTGCTTTAAGTGGCGAGCTTGAGATGTTTGTAACAAGTGGTCAAAATTGAACTTCACTTTACTAAATGTTGATGCCTTGATGGTATATTATAGTCCAAACTTTTAAACAAACACCTTTCTAAATGTTCCATTGAGAGATATGAAAGAGAGGAAGGGGAGGAAAGAGGAGGAACATAACAAGCTGGCCGCTCTACTATTGAGCTTGAAATCAAAAGAGGGGTTTCTGGTGATTAAGGTCTTCGTCGAAAAGTAAGTGTAAGGTTATACGTATTTGGTCCCTCGTTATCTTTTCTATTTTCTTGATAGATTTAAGTACAGGGGTGAAATAAATTAGCAAGCATGGAATATATGGAAAAGTTCATTTCATCCTCCTAGGATGAAATGACAAGGATATGTTCTGGAGTGCAGCTTTGGAAAAGTTCTGATGAGAAATTCAATCCCGCATTCTGGCTATCCATCTGTTGTGTGGTGCAATTGAACAGATTTTTCAAGATACCTCTACTAATACTTCTGATTGGATATCATGCATATCATTCTTCAAAATATGTTATGCCTTTTAGGCTCTCTATATATGTTGTCATAAGGAGAAGAGAATCTTCTCAGTAACTATGTACCATAGTTTCAACTTTCAAGAACTTCTCTTCATTTTGCCAATAACACTCCACTTGATTTTCTGTTTGTCTTTATTCCTGGTATAAGATACACACCAGCTTCAGATATGGATCCTTCTTTAATGTTCATTGTCCTTTGTCTCACTTCAAACTGCACTTATACCCTATGCTGTTAATATCGCGATATATCGCCGATATATCGGCGATATATCGGATATCGCTCCTAGAGAAAATATCGGTCCATAAATATCGGTCAAAATATCGTCCCCGATATTATCGGCGATATTTTCCGATTTTTCCCGATTTTTAGCGATATTTTGATGCAAATATCGGACCGATATATCGATTTTTTAGGGTTTAAATATTTGGGCTTTTGTTACTTCAGGGGCCTAGTTTTTTGGGCTTGGTAACTTAAATTAGGTCTGAAATTGATCTACCTCCACAACGGTCTTTTTCTTTCTTTTATATTAGCTCGTTTTTGAACACTTTAGATGATGTGATGTTTTAATTTTGAAACTATATTTCTAAACTCTAATTAATGCATATTATATATATAATTCTAAGAAATATTATGTTAACCGCTATTTTGGACCGATATATCACCGATATAACCGATATATCGAATATCGGTCCTGACCGATATTTCGTATTCTGACCGATATAACAGCATAGCTTATACCCTATCAAAATGTAAATAACAGATATAAGAAAAGAAAGCCTTTAGTTTGCTGATAGAGAAGTGATGCAAAACTAACAGCATGGTTGACAAATTATGTCAAAAATACGTCCGGGAAAAAGGTGTTAAGAGGAGAAAATTGGGAAAAGGAAGTTCAAGAAATGGGGCCCTACATTTTTATTTCAGTGACAAATCTTACTTCTGAATTCTATTTTGGACTCTTGACTCAAATGATTTCAAATTTGTTATTTGTTATTTTGTTCTTCTATTAGTTCATGAGAATGTTCTTCTGTTAGTTCTTGAGAAGGATCGCAGTCTGATTTGAGTTGAAACCTAGTACTTCCCAAGTTGAGTATGTTATCAACTTTTCCATGTTTTAAGCACAACAATTGTTTTCAATTTGTGGTGCTTCTTGTATACCGTAAATCATCAATTTTTATTTAAAATTAAATAACTTGATGTCAATTTTGAAGTAATCCAATTGATTGCCAAAGTCATGACAGTCTATGTGAATGCTGAACTGAACAAAAGAAGGCAAAAGCCCTACTTTATTGCCTTTTTAACTATTGAGCGTGAAAGTGACAACTGTTTTGTGCACATCGCATCAGCTGTAAGATCTAGAGATGAGAGGTCTGGCTACTTACAGGGCAAGTCATGCCAAGAAATTTATCTTGTTACTTAACCAAATGAAAGTTCCTGCTAATTAGTAGAATTAAGAAACCCTCGTTGAGGTAACCCGCACTGATGCCATGCAATATCTCACCTCTTCTTCCTGATTAGTTCTCATTCCACTCCACCTGGTCATGAGAAACTGGCATTCAAGCCTTTGGTTCTCTTGCGAAGTATCCAACCCTAGTCCTAGACACAATTCTAAAAGCCAACATATAGTGATCATTGATAGAAATAGAACATCTTGAGCTAAATGGGATTGGCCATTTCTATCTAATAAAAGTCTCCTACTAAGCTCACAATTTTCTTGAATGGCTTTCATTACTAATCTTTTCTTTTCCCTTTTCCATATAAACCTGAATTGGACTCTCTGTATGCTGGCATTGTTTTTAGTTGCAAAACCCCAAATTAGTTGGTACATGTTTTACAACTAACCCGAGAAAAAAAAAACTAACCCAAGAAATGCTCCGCTCATGCCTGGCTAGAGCTTAACCCTATTGGAAAGCATGATTACACGACATTTGAGGTACTTGATTGCAAGCTAGCTGTAGGAAATTTTTTGGTTGTATTATGGGAGTTTTTGTATCTTGATAGTTTATGATACTCCAAGTTACATACAAATACCTTTTGAGGGTATGAGTTGAAACACACTAAACATGTATCCATATACAAGTTTTACTATGTGTTCATTTGTAATTTCATGGCCATCTATTCATTTCTGCGACATTTAGTATAGGTAAATTTGTGACGCTCATGTATTATTTTCTTTTAGTTTACATTGTCATACTGTATCTTCTTCCAGAATTTGCATTTGGTTATCTTGGTGACTTGGCTTGTGTTTTAGCGGCGGACAACTGACTGAACTGGGTATAACTTATTTTCTGCTTTGATGTTTTCTATTCAGGCAATACCTCCTGTTACTCGGATGGCATTAGGAAAAAACACATGGGTTACTGTTTTATGCAGAAAGCTAAGAGATTGGTGGCACTGGGTACATTACATCATCAGCATTTTGACAGTATTTTAGCATTAGAACTTTGATTTAGTTATGGTCATAACTGAGTTCACTTTTGAAACCTTTTTGCAGGTTGCAGAGGGGGAATTACCTATTGTTGCATCACATGGGTAATTTATGATACATTTGTGATCCTCGTATATGGTGTTAATTTTCATCAATAATTCACCATATTTTGTTTTTCAGGGCGGAAATCGAAACATATAACACACTTGATCCTGGTGTTCGTGTGGTGATATTGAAAGCCTTATGTGATATTCGCGTTGAGGTACCCTTTTTTCCTGAATGGGACCGGCTTCTATCTTTTTGTTCTGTGTTGCTGTATCATCTTAACCATCAACTGAATATGGCTCAATTCATGCAGCAAGAAGATATCAGAAGTTATATAGACGACTGTATAAAACATGGTGTTCCTCTTTCAGCGTTTCGTAAAGAGCGTACAGGTGGAGATTCCCAAGGAGTTTCTTACTGGTACTACACTGGTCTTTGTCATCAACGTGTTTTATATTGATTTTAATCATCGAAAAGTCTATTTCTATGTCATCGGATGGTCTTCATTTGTGCATTCTATTTCTGTAAAGTCAATCGTCTTCTATTTGTTGGTGAGAAGGTACGAGGATGATCGTGACATCGGACAGAGATTATATCGTGAAATTAGAACAGTGGAGGTGAAGAAAGGGAAGGGGAAAAATGTACAGTCTGTTCCATCTTACCAGTGGGAAACCATTGCTACCAACTTGGATGAGTTTCAAGACGTTTCGGTAAGTTCTCTAAATGAGTTTAAGTCAAGTGTCACTAAATATCAGGGTCCATCTTAGGAGCTCGAAATACCTATTCTTTCTTCTCTTGTTCACCATCTTTTTCTTACTATCATCAATAAGCTCGGGTTTTATCTTGGCTTCCCTGTTTTAAGCTTTTAACCTTCTTTGATAGGAAAAGCTATCGGCTAGTAAAAATCGTACGGAGGCTTCACTTGGGAAGAAATTGAAAAATGACATGCTACCAGAGATTGAGAAGGTCCATAAGGTAATGAACAGTTGCTCCATGTTTTGAACTGCTCTTTATCCTCGCATAAATTCTTTTTACTGAATGATGTACTAAATTTGTATAGTCGAGAATTACATTAATCATATGAAGGCATAACCATATGACGTTCTTAATTCTTCATTGGTGCAGAAGAAAGAAAAGCTGCTCAAGAAACAGCATCGACAAGCTCTTCTTCTTGATAGTATGATTGTTGATGGATTTGGTCCTGGGCGCTCCCTTCGTGGCAGAAAACCCGTGTCCTACACTTTCGGTAAGATAAATGATGTGATTTGTATCTTACATTTGTTTTCTGTTCCCATTTATTTTAGTCCGATAAAAAATTGCTGTTCCCATCGTGATAAGAATTGCAACTTTTGATAATGCACATTTTATTCAAAGTGTTTTATTAAACCAAACCAAGCAAACCTGCACTCAGAAGTAGGGTCTGGAAGGGGTAAGATGTACACAAACCTTACCTCAACCACTAGGATCGAGAGGCTGTTTTACCAAACCAATCGAACCCAGAATATCCCATTTGAGGTGTTTAGTGTTTACTATTGGCCTAACACGTGGAATACCCTTCTATAACAAAAAAAAAAAAATAGGAGAATCTTGTAGAACAATTCATGACTACCTTTTGCAACTGGCCCTGGGAAAATTTTGTAACTTTGGGTGAACGGTAGGAAGAAAGATTGGATTCATCTAGCAATGATTGCCCTGAACCCAAATTCAGTAATAGGAAACCCTTACTTCCATGTCCCCTAAAGGATAGTAAGAGAATGTAGGGGAATATTATGGCCATGGCTATGGCTAACGAAGTAAGGAATGGTTGCATTTAGCGAACTACTATATAGATTTTGAAATTACTGTAATAACTAAAATTGCAAACCAAAAACCAGACAAAGCCAGTGAGTACCACACGGGGTAGGGTCTAGGGAGAGTAAGAGGTAGCGATGTGGTTTCCGTAAAGAAAGCAAAGTAATTTGGTCGAGGGTTGGATTCGAACCCCTAAATTACTGTAGTAACTCTCAATCCTCTACTATTCTTCACATTCAGCTTCTGTGAACTGTACATCCCATTCGCTAATTGTAGTGAACATTGGATTTTCTGCAGATGAATATGACCGATCAATCAATGAGGCTATCAAGATAACCAAGTACTAATCTTTTGACCTTTTACCATTTCATCCATATTTCTCAACTCTGCGTACATGTTTATACGGCTTCTAAGTAAATTTCTTTTTGCGTTCTGTTTTTTTTGGCAGAAGGAAGCAACTGTCCCCAGAACCGAGTGTAAGAAGAGAAGGCTTGAGACATGATGCTTCTGAGACAAATGGTACATGGGGTGGTCCTTCACAAAATTCTCATCAACCCTCACCAACTCCTTCTTTGCCGGATTCACTCAATTGTGATGAAACCGATGAGGACCATGCATCTGAACAGTTAGATCGAAGGTACCCTACGTGCCTTTCACAAATTTCAATTACACCAAAAAACCAAAACCAACCCAATACACTACAACAAAATCGGGTTTATAGGAGGCCAAAAATGTCTAAGGAGCCGTTTACCCAAACACTTACCCAGTAAGGGTTAACACTCCAACATACCTTACCGGATAAGATTTTAGTCCATCAAAACGACATCATATGCAACAATTAACCCAGTAAGCATGAACCGGGTAAGACTTTCGGTCCTTGCTATCGCTCTCACCGATAAGAGTCTCGGTCCTTTCCATGTTCATCCGGAAAGGTAAGTGATGTAGTACCCTCTTACTGGTAAGCGTTTAGTGAACGGCCCCTAAGTGTCCTAGTAGACAGTTTTATAGGACTTTATATAGGTGTCGTAAACAAACTTGTTGAGATGCCCAAAGGCTTCACATTCTATAAAGCAGTCTATTATGGTCTGTGGGTGGCAACAGGAGTTCTCTCTTGACATATATCACTCTTTTCGTACAGCAACAGGAAAAGGCAGAGACCTCAAAGGTATTCCACACACGAGTTTGTAGAAGCGGTTTCAGATAATGAGGCGGACATGGATAGTGACGACGATATAGTCGGTGAAGCTGTATACGATGAGGAATATCTAAAGCAACGAAAAGGACGGAGGAAGATGTCCAGTAGCTCTGAAGGAGATGAAGAATATCATTGGGAGGAAGAAAATGCTGAAGAGGAAGGAGATGACTCATTGAGTGCGAGCGAAGATAGCGATGTACCACAAAGATTGAAGAAATTGCGAGGCCAGACTAGGAGGGAAACAAAGTTACGGTCGGTCGTTGAACTCCAGTCAGGTCTACGACGCAGCAAAAGGGCAACCCGTAACCGTATTGATTACACACAGTACGAGTTTTCCGAGTCCGAACCCGAGTTAGCCAAGCCCGAGAAATCAACGTATGAGTTTTCCGAGTCTGAACCAGAATTAGCCAAGACCGAGAAATCGACGTATGAGTTTTCAGAGTCTGAACCTGAATTAGCCAAGCCCGAGAAGTCAAATGGCTCAGATAAAAACACAGAAGCAAGCAATTCTCCAGGTTTTTCGATGGGAAGTGACGACACTGAAGTCAATAATGATAATGGTAACGATAACGAGGAGGTGAAAATGGAGCAACCCGTTATCAAAGAACACCAAAAGATGGAAAAGGAAGAAGGTGACAATGAACCATCCTCGAAAATAGAGAACCCTGTCCAAGATGAATTTGCACGAAAAAGACGGTTTCTTGATCTAAACGAGCTCGCACCAGGTTCTGGTTTCGAAGATGGTCCAATTATGAAGGATGAAAATACAGATAATGTTTAAAGCTTCAGGTTCTCTCGTTGATTCTAGTTGTATGATATATTTATATATATCTATAAATATATTTGTTAGTTTTCACATTCTTTGGCAAAATTTTACCCAACCCGTCCCCAACACAAGAAACGTCGTTTTTCTTAGTACGTTTATGTTCAAAGAAACCTGGGGATTTAACATTTTACCTAAGATCTCTTATCGGCCATTTATACACACAGACGGGTTTCTTTAGAGCGGGAAAACGGGGGTTTTGTGTTATCTCATATTGCAACATTCGATACGGCCTTGAAGGTGTAATTTGTTCCACATACACAGCATTTGTCTGGGTGATTGATAGTGTGCTGTGTAGTAATCTTGGATGCAACCAAACTGGCAAAACTTCAAACTATGCACATATTCCACACGTTTCGTCTTGTTGAACTGCTCTATCCACATTCCCATACTCACATCTTCCATCTTGAACAACTGTTGCACAACAACTTCTTAGTTAGACGTATTCATAATGAATACAAACATATGCATAATGAATACAAAACATTCTTGACCTTTAATGTATGTTTCTCAAACTTCAGAGCAATGAATTTGGCTATATCCGATGACAGAATGTAGCCTGGACCATTTGCATATGGCGGATAATCTTCTTCTGGCCATTCCTACATTCGTAAAGGGCGTTTTAGACATTTTACAAATGGTCATAATGCTCATATAAACAACCAGCACGGCCCAAGACCAGGATCGATTAAGACCGGTTACGACCTGAGGCTCAGGGATTGGTGTCGAGATTTCTGGAAATTTAAGCCCCAGCCCAGGACCAAATATACATAGCAGCCGATTTTTTCAAGATTTTACAAATTATAATACAAAGTTCTTTAATTTTTTTAGTAAATGCAATATTTAAAATGTATTTCAATGCTCAATTTCAAAAATCATAATTCTAAAACTTATATAACATTTTTATTAAAAAAATATCTATAAAATATATCTCTTAAAAACCAGAACCGATTTGGGACCGGGGGGTCAGCCCAGTTACAGTCCAACACATAGGACCAGGATCGAGACCGATTTTTGGTCATCTCTATAAACGACCACCAGTGTTACCTCATATGTTACAGCCCATTTGCCATATCTCAACGGTTTGTGATAGTAGTTGATGTTTCCCAAATACAGGCTCTTGCGATCGTCAATTTTGTTTGCCGCGGTAAGAACCGCATCGACTCTAACGAACGTGTCATCGTCGCACTTCATGATATACTTAGCGGACGCCGTACGGACCTAAACCAAATTACACGGCCGAAAATGATGACCCTTTTTGAAAAAAACACGATCATTTTCGTCCTAAAACGTCTTTTTGTAAGTTAATACTCACCCCGTATTCACATATTGCAACTGTTTTCAGAACAACGAGATCGTAATTATCCATGTACGGCACGATCACGATATCACCAAAGAAATCGGATTCTTTCTTTAATTCAGCATTCACTTCCTTTCTTGCATGCTGTTGAGATATTAAACAGCGACTTAAAATTACACGTAATGCACGAGCCTGAAAGGGAATTTAACAGATCAATGCTTACCAGTGCTACAAAAAATCGAGCAACAACTCGTGAAGACTTGATGAGATCGTACTGCATCCACGACTTCCTGACGGCCATCCGTTCAGCAAAATGGTTTCCTGCTGAAAGAACACCAATGAACAAATCGATGGGTGTATCTGGAAGAGGCCGGGTTTTCCATCTGTTCGACATTTCTAGGGTTCTTTGGGGAGCAAAATTCGGGTGTGTCGAGGGTAATGAACCGGCAAATATGGCGTTAACATCAACGTCTCCTTTAAAAGCCAAACCCGTGGCATCCTCCAATGCAAATCCCTATGACCATAAATAAAGAAAACGTTAAAGAAGAATCTTGAATTGTTCTAATTCTAAGAACATTGTATGATGTACAAAAACAACCTCTCTACTCTATAGACTAAACTTTATGCCTACTACATACATTACCCCCCATCTGTATGGATATAATGTTTAACAAGATAAAATTGTTCTAATTCTAAGAAAGTTTGCATGCATGAAAACAGTCGCTCTACTCTTTATGGTAGAGGTCAAATTTATGATAGATGTTGGGTCTGCATGCATCTTACCCTCCAGACCCCACATAGATGGCATATATTGTCAAATGAATAAAACAGTTCTAATTCTAAGAACATTATAGGATACATGAAAACGAGCGCTTTACTCTTTAGGGAAGAGGTCAAGCCCGCTTATATCTTACCATGACCCCACATCCGGGTGGGATATACTATCAAACAAGATAAAACGGTTCTAATTAATAGTTGTTTTACTCTTTAGGGTAAAGATCATATTTGAATACATCTTACCCTTCAGACCTTACCTCCAGGTGGGAGGTACTGGGCTCGTTTGGTTTGGTCCTAGGATGCAGAAATTAGCAGGGATTGCAACTCACAGTTCGATAGGGAAATGAAGTTATGTGTCGACCATCAACATTGACATGATAACCCTCCAAGCCTGCGCTAAGAGTTAGAACAAATAGTTTCCCTTCGGCAAACGGAAATGGCCAATCGAAAGCCACCTTCTTAGTTCGCCCGATCATCCTGTTCAACCACCAGCTTGTCTTTGTTTCCTCGGAGCTATTATCATCATCACGTATCCACTTCTCGCATTTCACCTGCCCGTCAACTTTACAAACAGAAAGTCAAGTTCCAAACTTTATACTGTCTTCTTCTCAGAAACTAAAAGATATATTTCACGGAAAGAAGATAATCGGTCGAATTACATGCATATGTTTCGATTTCAGTTCCCAAGATTTCATTAAGAACTAGATAAAAGATAAAAATACTGAACTTCCGCCAAAATTCAAGTTGGGCTATGTTCAAGAACCCTAGTTCTAAAAGAAGCATCTCAACAATCACAATTTGACCCAAAAAGACCATGATTTCCTACATTTTCTAATCACCAATACAAGAAAGTGTATGCAGTTAGTTTCACACAATCAGTGAACTAAATGCTTGATAAATAAGCATTTAAGTGAACAGTTGAAATATAGGATTCAATTGTAGTTGAGTTTGACTTACCCGTCTCTTCATCAGCTCTAGATTTCCATCCTTCACATCGTTGAGCCAATCCCCATTGCATTCTGTAACATGTATTCTGTTCAATCATTGGTTTCCCACTCCAATCCCCCTTCAATCTAGGATTAAAATGCAAAATCCTTGGTGGGTCTTCACCATCAACCGTCTTCAAACCCTGCAACTCCATCATGAACTGTGAAACCATCAAATTCTTCTGACCAGGTTTCAATAAAGAAATCTTTGGGTTTTGCTCAAGATGAGCCTGTCTAGGCCTCCCTACAACTGTTATATGTGATCCCAATGTCATCCCACATGGAAGCACAATAATGCTTCCCCTTTTCTCAAACACAGACCCTGATAGTGTAACCGAACTAGGGCATATCTCTTTTGTTTGATTTCTCATGTTTTTCGAGGGTAATTCAAGTTCAATTTCTTCCCAGAATTTCTTCCCTACTGAAAATGCTTCCATGGCAGACTTCTGGATTGCCCCAACTCCATCAGTTGATGAAATGTTGATATCGTAATTCAAATTGGATTTTTTCGAGTTGGGAAGTGTTTTGGGTATGGGGCGAATTGGGGCTTCTTTTTCTTGTAATTCTTCTTCACTGTCGAGGGCGAAGAGGTGGTTTGATAAGAAACCAGTTCTTGAAACTTGTTCGTCTTCTTGAGTGATTGATTTGAATAGGAATGGAACTACTAAACTGACGACGAGCATATACAAGAACCCTACACCGATCAGAAACTGAATTTGTCTTAAAGAGATGAACAATTCTAATTTAGTTCGCTTCATGTTCGATTTTTTTTAGATAAAACCAAAGAAAGTATACAAGAAAAAAGAAGACAGAACCCAATTGAAATGTGATGCCTAATAATGATTAAAGGGAAGTGGAAATTGAGTTGATTTCTCTTTGATTCTGCGAATTGGAAAAAAGAGATTACGCCATTGATGCAGAGTTTGAAGGTGAAGTTGTTGAGGAAGAGAAGGTTGAGGAGGTGGAGGGAGGGAGGGAGGTTGACCAGCTCGACCACCACCGACGTGAAGCAAACAGAATTCGATATTTTTGGCCAACAATTAAAGAGGTGACATTTTAATGCAAATATAATATATATAGAGGGAGAGTAAAGTATGGATTTATAAAATTGATCTTTAAACTTTATTTATTATGAATTAGATTTTTGTGGTATGTATTTACTGTTGGGTTTGGTCCCTGGACCAAACGGCCGTTAAGATGATCCGTTACACTCAAGGGCATATATGTCCTTTCATCCTTTCAATATATACTTTTTGTTTTTTAAAATGGACTAGATTATTTTGTCTTTTTATGTTTTTAAATGCACCGATTACAATGTGCCACATGTTTTATATATATTTTTTTGGAAAATGTTAATGGCATCCCTTAAGAGGGGGTGTGATTTTCTTGGAAATTATACCCATCAATTTTTTTCATAAACATCAACTTAATAATTATATATTTATATTTTATTAATTTAATTTAATTTTAGATATTATATTAAAAAAATATATATTATTTTATTATTTTTATGTTATTTTCTTATTTATAAATTACTTTATATATATATATATATATATAGATTCTTATATTATATACTAAAAGCGTAATCGCGCAATGCAACGAGATACATCGTGTTTTTAATATTTCATTTTATTCTTTATCTCAGTCGATGTTATAATATAGCTTTATGTAATTTTGATAAAGCGATAATGTTTTTATTTTTGAATAAAATATATGTTTGACGATATCATAAAAATTTGACAAAAATATATCGATATTAATATCAAATTAACTATTTGAAATTCCTCATTTTTTTGTGTAATTTTTTAATCCAATTTTTTTATAATTTAATTTATGTACAATAACGAAGTAATTTATAT